TGATGCTTGCAGACATCCCCATTAGTGCCTTCCAGGTATTTTGCCCAACTTTACTCTTCTATTTTTTAAAAAAAAAATTCTTTTAAGTAAAAAATATAAAGCTGGTGTACTGCAAAGCAAAATACCAACTGCTAGCATTACTTTATTTCCAAAAATAACTCTAGACCCCAAATGACCTCATAACTTAAGGTCTTTTATCTAAGTGTCACCTTCCAGAAAGGGGCAAAGGTAAGTAGGGACAGCTGAGAGAGGATAACAGGTAGCGTTCTGGTCAATTGGGTGCTTTGTAACTGTTTACATACTTTGTTGCAGCTATGTTTTTATTTTATTCATTTATAAATCAAATTTATATGCCGCCCATCTCCCTATTGGTCACTCGAGGTGGCTCACAAGTAAAAAACATAAGAACTTTTAAAAACGACAAAGCACATTAAAAGACTACAGACAAAGTTAAAAGATGGAGAGAGCATCCTCAAGGCCCCAGCCACCCCCAATGTAGGGAGCCCCCACTGGATCCCCATTGTGAATAATAGGCTGCCCAGCAGCCATTTTGCAAGCCACCACGTGTTCTCAAATCTCCCAGGTGTCGACTTAACCAAAAAGGTTGGAGACCCTTGTTCTAAGTCAGTACTATCTAGCCCACCCAGCGAACTGTTTTCTACTTCTCTCCAAAATGTTCATATAGAATGCCAAAACTGAGGGCTGCTGGGAAGAATAGCGGTATGTTTGTGCTTTGTATGCTGTTAAAATAATAGGTAAGCAGCCCCATATCTTGTGCAGTGCAACCTTAACAGCTACTGAGAATAAGAATGAAGTTATTTTTCAATTAAATTAGGCTTTACTGTTCTAATCTCATTGGAATGAGAGAGGTTATTTTTAGTAAATAATATCATCTTATTAAGTGGCAACCAAAGGCAGTGCAAATCCAAAGGAGTGAAGAGGTTAATCTTCTTTATCAGCTCAGCTTGGATTGCCATGGAGAGGCAGACTCTAGAATGTCCATGAGCATTGTTGCTTGGTTGCACTCACTGGTCAAGGAATTCTGGAGCCCAAGGTGATCAAAAGACCCGGCACTGACTGGCCTCGATGACCTGCTTTAAATCTATTAGTAAGAATTAAAACTAGTTTTAAATAAGACTCAAAGGTAGGATGAATCAGCCATAATTAATATACTTGTTGTTAAGCTAGTAATCTTGAGTGGGTGACAAACCTGGTTATGTCCACCAGTCATACAGTGGCAGTGTTTGTACAACTTGCTTATTTGTGGGTAGCAACTAGAGTTTACTCAACCCAGTTTACTTAGTATGCACAGCATACTGCCCTATACAGCCAGTATGGTGTAGTGGTGAAAATGTTGGACTAGGAGAGGAGAGACCCAGGTTCTGGTCCACTTTTAACCATGGAAGCTCATGCAGGAGCTCTGGACCAATTTCATTCATTCATTCATTCATTCATTCATTCATTCATTCATTCATTCATTCATTCACTCACTCACTCACTCACTCACTAGTTCAGTGCTTCTCCACCTCAGCAACTTTAAAATATATGGATGTCAACTCCCAGAATTCCCTGGCATATAACAACAAAAAATGAACAATAAACCAAAAAACACATCATATTAAAACATATACAAAATATAAATACAAAATCTAAAAATGTTCTCTCAGCCCTGCCTACTCCACAGGCATCTTGTTTGTTTAAGGGAACAATAAGAAGGAGTGATAGCTGGGCTGCCTTGATATCCCTGAACTCATGAATGAAATTGGGCTTTCTTGAACTTCTGAATTAAATGCAGGATGTAATTCTAATAAAATATAAATATGAAGTAACTCCCCTGACTTGGTTCATACAATAGACTAAAGTGTGGTTGACTGTTTCGTGATTCATTGTATTGTATGAACACAGCCACCAAATTAAAATGTCTTGACAAATCTAGGACTTGCTTTGTAGTAGCTTTTGTTCTCTGGTAGCCTATGCACTTCAGAACAGATCCGAAAGACCCTGACATGGTCTCAGCAATACAAATAGGAGAATTCACTGTACTAGTCCCAGCCTGAATGAGAGCTTTTAAAAAGGTCTCTTAATCAATTTTTAACTTTAAAAACTCCTCTTGATCAATACAAACTGGAATCTGCATCTGCCCCTCATTGCCCAGTTAGGAACCAGCTACATGTTCTGTTTGCCATGTGAAAGGCAGATGTTTTCTTAGTTGAAATTTGACACTCCAAAAAAGCATGAAATTAGAAATTCCTCCATTCCTAAAAGCTCTGAATTCTGCTATTATTGTATTAATGCTGATTCTCATGAGAGCAGACTGTTTTATTTTAATGTATTTTTATGCTCTCTTTCATTTCACAGTTACTAGGAATTATTTTATTCTGTATAAATCTATCACCATTAGGAAGGTGACATATAAACAACCAATACAGTATACCACATTTTGAAACTCTAGCATTCTTTGAATTAGAGATGGGGATCCCCCCCCCCCCAAATCCACATTCTCTTGTTGATAGCAACTCACACTGATGGAGTTAAAGCCCCAAAACCTGCTTCCTGCTTCTTGAATCATGGAGGCTGGTTAGTGCAATGCACATCCAGAAGCAGCAGACTCCAGCCCCTTGGGGAGAAGGGAAGGGCTTCCAAAGATTGTCCTTCCTCTTCTCATTCAGCTCTAAACTGATCACTTGCAGGGGACAACTTAAGTGAAGTGAGGGAATTATGCAATGAGACTGATAAATCGCTCATCCCTGCCTTAACCCATGCTGAACCCTACAACACCTTTTCGCTTGCATGCCTTAATTGCAAAAGAATGAAGTCTGGTGGAGGTTTCTTAACTTGAGTTCCATATATTTTTATGAAGCCCGAAACTCTTTAAAATTTAAATCCAAACCAGGCTATTTTCCTTTTCCTGCTTGTGTTATCGAATTCTAACAACTGTTACTTTTTTCTGGCATAGTGCCTAAAAGAACAGGCTTGGCTGTATGTTGTATGTAATTAAAATATTTATAATCTTGTTCCTGTTCTCTCAATGCCCTCAGATCCCTCAAGAGAGGCTGTAAACTATATACATGTGAGCAGCAATCTAAAAACTGGACTCATCTAATTTAATTTTAATTTTGGTTTCTTGCTGCACCTTTTCACAAGGGTAAATGCAAAGAAACACATTCTGTAGGATGTGTTGAAACCATGCAACATTTGTGGAGTGTGTACACGGTTTGCCAATTCAAGCAATTCATAGTGAGAGTTCCATAAAAGAGGGGGGACTGGCACAGAGAAAACAGTGATGGATGAAAACCATGATGGTATATTGAACTAGAACTGGCGAGACCCAGTTTCAAATCATTGCTCAGCTACCAAGGTCACTGGGCAACCTCCAAACATCTCTCAACTGAATCTATTTCAGATTTGTTTCAGGAATAAAATGGGATGAGGAGTCGCATGAGCCACCATAACCTTCTTGAAGGGTTTCCTTGAATCTAATCCTGTTTTAAGAACCTGGTTGTGACTGTTTTCATAAGTGTATTTTGCCAGTGCAGTTTTAAGGCTTGATTCAGCTTCTGTGTTTCAGAACTGTTACCATATCTTTTTAAAAAATGGTTTGGAAGCTGCCTTCTCTTGTCTAACTGAAAAAGTGGGTAGAAACATTTTAAAGAATGTGATAAAGAAATCTTAATCCCTCCTCTTTCTTTCAGTACCAGTCTTTATCCCTTCGCCACCTCTGCAAGCCTAAAGACCTTTTTAAACAAGAAAATATGTCCATGCATTTCTAGCATGATCAAGTTGATTCAAAGATGCTGATGTTTGGGATGTAATTGGATAGTTGTGATTTTACTTGTCTTATTATAGTTTGGTAGATTTTATAAATCAGATAGATAAGCTGTGACTCGTAGGCTGCATTGCGCCCTCCAACACTTTTTCTGCAGGCCCCAAAGCCCCTAAGATTGTCCCTATGAAATATAGTAGACAGAGTTCTTTTGTTCTAGAAAATAGTAAAATAGGTGTATTAAGTCTCCAGTAGATTTAACATACCCATTAAATGGGTATGTTAAAGGTATCTCCCCTGATGCCTCTCCAAAAAGGGTTCAAAAAGTATGGCCCTGTTTCCCCTGTGATGTTATTGCCATTCCCCCATGGTCCTCAGAGTCTGTTTTAAAAATGTGCCCCCAACCCCCAAAAACGTTGTCCATTTGTGGTATGAATGCATATTTTAATGAATATTTTAAATATGGAATTGTGCCTTTTTAATATAGGCAAATTATAGACACTTCCCCTTCATTAACTGATTTCTTTTCTCTCAAGTGGAGAGGGAAAATGTGCAGAAAAGGACTTTCACCCGGTGGATTAATTTACACTTGGAAAAGGTAAGCGTGCTAAACACATTCGTACTCTGTTATCTTCCCTGAAAAGTGAGGTTGACAGGCAGGAGAGTGTGTGAATCCGTAGGTTATTGATTTAGTATCCTAGCCACCCTTGGCCAATCTAGGAAGTCAAGCAGGGTCAGACCTGGCTAGTGCTTGAATGGGGAACCATTGGCTAGATTCAGAAGTCAAAATATATCCAGAAGAAGACAGTGGTAAATCACTGCCATACTGTTGCCAAGAAAACTCATGAATACTGTCCCAAAGAATCAAGTTTAGTTTGCTTGTGTTCTTAAATAATGATGAAGATGTTTTTAAATGCAGTGAAGACACAATAATGATGGCAAATATCAGCCTTTCCAAAGCTGAGGGCCTTCCAGCAAATCTGAGACATTTACTCTAGAGTAGGGTTTTTCAAAAACTAACTAGGAAATTCTGGGAGTTGACTTCCACACATCTTAAAGTTGCCAAGTTTGAGAAACACCACTCTAGCGCTTATTTATATAGGCAAAAGAATGGGTTCTATTTGGGCTGCAGAGATCCAAATGGTCACTAGATGGCAGCAAAGAAATATATATAAAAAAAACTATTTGCTGCCCTAAATTGGTTGGTTGTATTTTTGCACCCCAAATATAGTATCCCTAAAAATAAACATAGAAATCCTTCACATCAGTAATTGCTGATGATTCAGTTATGTTAGAATTGCTGAGTAACTTAATATCTATAGAAAGTTAGCAAACAATTGTTTTTGTTCAAACTTAATTAACAGGATATAATTTCTTGCTAAGCTTCTATATGAAGTTCTTTTTGTTCAAAGATGCCTCCCCACCCCCGTGAGCAACTGCAAAATGCCCTAATAAACTGAAATATTACACCATTGTTTTCTGAACATCGGCAATACTATATCGGAGGTTTTCTTTGACTCGGTTTTTTCTTCAGGATGGGGGCTGACTGATTTGATTGATGTAGAAGGCATTGGAAGCAGCTGAGGATGCACACCCCAAAGCTATTATTAAATGATTTTCCTTTTTCCCCCACAGTGTAGCCCTCCTCTGGAAGTTAAAGATTTGCTGGTTGATATTAAAGATGGCAAAATTCTGATGGCATTATTGGAAGTGCTATCTGGACAGAATCTGGTATGTATGACATGTAAAAAGAAATTACTGAGGTGGTAATGTAGTCCCAAATTTATGATAAAATGAGACTTGATAGATTCCTCTTTCCAAAAGGATCTGAAATGTTTCCCAAGCCAGACGGGTACAATCAAGATGGCTCCTGGATTTCATGCAGTGAATGAAACTGCACAAACACAGCAAGTGCTGGGAACCACAATACAGCACCAACCTTATCTTACCTATGTATTGTTCCAAGTGGGTATGCTAGGATCAAATATGGTAGAATCTCACCTAACCAAAAGGATTAATTAAAGCATTTAAATCCATAACAAAATATTTTAATTGTAATAATTCATTCAAATGTTTAATTCTTAACTTGGGAGTTCAGTTCTGGAGGGTATAAGCCCGGGGAAGTTTCCTTTTCATTAGAGCTAGCAACCTTTTGGTCATCAGGGATCTCCACTTTGCTCCTGTTGCTTTTGGTGGGAAAGGCAATAGGGATGCTATGCTTGTTTCATTGCCTGAAACACTGGGATGCTACCATTCAAAACCATGCTTCTCAGGGTAGGCCTCCATGACATCACTGAGGTGAGTGGGGGGAGTCTTTGGGCCTTTTCTTCGGAGCATCTGTGGGGGAAGGGTGACAAAAGCAGTGTTGTGCTGATATTATGCACTTCATCCCTTTTTGCATGTGTGTCATGACACTGCACGCACATACAACGTGAGTACTGTTTGTGGCATGATGGCACAATACTGTTTTCATCATCCTGACGAAAGCTCTAGGTCAGGGGTCCTCAAACTTTTTAAACAAGGGGCCAGTTCACGGTCCCTCAGAATGTTGGGGGGCCGGACTATAGTTTGAGGAGAGGAGGAGAGCTGCCGGACCCGGCATCCCTGTCATGTAGAATAGTCCGGCTCTGCGATCTCCCTCCTCGTGCATCGCCTGCAGCTCCCGACACAGCCCCGACACTTCCGCTTCTGACAGACAGCAGCGGCGGCCAATCAGGCGCGCGGGCCAAATAAATGACCCTGGTGGGCCGTATCCGGCTCGCGGGCCGTAGTTTGAGAACCCCTGCTCTAGGTGCTGCGGGTGCCTTTGCTTTTCACATGGGGGGACAAGGGTTGAACTTTTGAAAATGCCTAATGGCCTAAACATTCAGCCTATTGGAGAGCTTGGTGGCACATGCAATTTGCCTCTTTGATAAGTAAAAACATTTGATTATTTTATGCCCATTGACTATATAAATTCCACATAACTGTTATGGAACTGTGACCAGACCTTGTATAAATTGTTTATTTATTCTGCATTTAAATAAACTCCTCTGTAAATTGCACATAAGTTTTGAACTCAAGATTCTTTTTTGTGGTCTTTGTGTTATTGTATATGTGCACGTGTTACTCTGAAGCAGTGGTTCAATTTCTCCTGCCTTAAGAGCTACAATAGAGTTTTTGTGCTGTGTTGAGGCCATAATCCAAAAGTAGGCTGAACCAAAATCCTAAATTTGGGATGCGTGTATGTAAGTATGTATAGACAGATAGACAGACACACACACACGGATATAACTATACTGATATTGATATTGATATCAATATAGATATGAAAGAAACTATAAATAAGAGAGAAAGATATAAAAATATATAAGAAAACAAAAGATAAAAGACAGATAGTTATCCTTACTGAATTTTAAACTGAACATAGTTCATTAACACAGTACAAATCACTAACAGAACTATAAACAGTAAACAATAAATCAATACTGAAAACTATAGATCAGATATAAATAGGATTCTATGGAAAAGTAAACCCAGATTTTGGGTGTACACAAGCTGTATATACCATTATTATCCAAGAATGTTTTCCAATTAGAATTAAATTCTGCGTTAGATTTCTTTTTTATTTAGGAAGTTATTCTTGGCATCAAAGCAACTCCCACAATATCATTAGCCATTCTTCCAAGGAAGGAATTACAGACCTTTTCCAATATAAGTATATAATATCCTTGCAGCATTATCATATACAGTGCTGATTCAGTCAATTTGGAAAGAAAATATTGTTTGGTGATATTTAATACAAATATCTCAGGCTGAGATATGGAATGACAATCTTCAAAATCTGTTCCATTCTACTATGAATAATTTCCCAGTATTCTGAGGCTTTACGACATTGCTACCACATGTGAAAAAAAGAATCCAACCTGTTCATTACATTTCGAGCATTTTTTAGAGAAAGAATTATTCATTTTGGCAATCAAGGCTCGAGTAATATATCAATATTAAAATAAAATGGTGCTTTAACACTCTGTAAGGCATTCAGTACCCCAAACCCTTTGCCAAATTAAAAAAAGGGGCTGATTATGGCTCTCCCCACAGGTCAAATGATTTAGAAGTTTCTAAAATTTTAAAAGGCAGGAATTGATGTGAGTATATATCTGCATGAAGAACTACCATTCTTCCTTTTCAATCCATTCTGATTTTCTTTTAGCTGCACGAGTACAAGCCCTCGACCCATCGTATTTTTCGACTGAACAATATTGCAAAAGCCCTTAAGTTTTTGGAGGACAGCAATGTAAGTAATTTGTGAGATGGTGATTCATTCTTTTAGCAAAAATTATGCTAAATAAGGAACATACATGCTGCAAAAATATGTCTTAATGCCAGGTCTGCATATAATAGACATTAAAATCCACTTTAGATCATTTCTAAAATGATGTAAAGGTTTCAGTTGGATTAAATGATTAGAAGAAAGCAAAAAATGCTTTTAATTGGCAGGCTCTGAACAACTGAAATTGCTCTGATTTGAATTGCTTGATTTTTAAAAGTCTTTTCAGTTATGTTAAGTATTATACTTTTCTATTAAATAATACAGTTTTAAAATAATCCTGAAAATCTGGAACAGCTTTCTTCCAGATGTATTGGATTTCTATTCCCATAATCCCCAGCCAATGTGTGGTCTTTGTTGCTTGAGTACTATGGAAGTTGAAGTCCAAAGTTATTGGAGAATGTTAAGTTGGAGAAGACTTTCAGAATGTTATGACTTCTTGATTTCCACAATTGAATTCTAGAAATGTAGCTTGGGAACTAGGGAGTCACCACTTTGAGAAAAGCTGTTCTGTAGGAAATAATGTGTACACTGTGTACATGCAATATAAAATAACAGTAATCTTCATAAAACAAATACTTCAGAGAATAAAGATAGCACTCTTTCTTAAGTTTTGTGTAAGTATGCATTATTTAAAGAGTTCACATCTACCTATTTTGACTCAGCAGAATCATAGTCTGGACACTGGTTAACTATTGATAAAAATAAATAAAGAAAGAACAGGGTGCTTGTTGCTTTTCTGTATAGATTTTCCCAGAAAGCAGCAAGGAATGGGAAAAATAGTAGATTGGTATTCTGGTACAAGTCAGTTTTTCTTCCTAGAAAATTCCTCTGCATGCTCCCATGGAAATTAAGATTTACTTTTTTAAAATGGTCATCTCCCAGAGGTCTGCAAGAAATTAGAATTATAATGTGAGTTGATGCTTTAAATGTCACTCTCTTTTCTACTAACAGGTTTACTATATCTGAACTACAAAACCCTCTATACCCACTAGATAGCAGCAAAGATATGTGGCCCTCTAGTGATCACTTGGATTTTTGCAGCCCAGATATGGTAATATAGTAGCCCCAAACAACAGTGTTATTAAAATAAAGCTTTATTAACCAGGGTCATACACAACACTAAAGCAAAATGTTGTTAGTTGGTTGGTTTGTGACACAGATAGTGGGTGAACTGATTAACTGTAGTTTGTAAATCATGGTTTCTTTCCTGGGCAGCGTTTGTACATCATGTTGTATAAAAAACAAACATATTACATTACAGTATCTATCATTTAGCTCTCCTCTCAAAAGTGATACTACTGCTGTTCTTTCTCCTACTTAACTATTGCTTTATTCACTCAGCTATTTGCAGAGCTGATAACAACCTTTTTGTACACACAAATGTCAAGTTCCTACCTCTTTCATGCAAAAGTAAGCTGTATGTCCTTTAAAAGCATCTGGAAGGTACAACTGGTCCAGAACACAGCAGCTCATGCGGAACTGGGCACCCATTGGTTTGCCATGTTACATCATTGCTATGTGACCTGCACTGGCTCCCAGTTTCTTTCCATGTGCAATTCAAGGTGCTGGTTATCACCTAAACCCCTGGATGGCACAAGGCCAGATTATTTGTGGGTCCACCTCTCCCTGAGGGTATTTGTCCATTCCACCAGATTGGATAGAGTAGGCACAGTCCAGGTCCCTCCCCTTAAATGTTGGATCTAAGGAAGCATGCCTTTTCCTTAGCAGCCCCTGCCTTGTGGAACACTCACCCCCCTGAGATCCAAAAGACTCCTACCCTCTTAACCTTCTGGTAAGCTGTAAAGAGCTGGCTTTTCCCCTAGGTGTTGGGATGGTAAGGTTGGAACCCAGAGATTTTATAGATGAATAGACACAGATGTTGGATTAATTGTCTGGTTTTTCTTAGTTTTTGTTTTATTGTTTATGATTTTATTATTGTCATTAGCCACTAAGAGTTGTATTCCACAAGATGGGTGGCCATATAAACCTTTTAAGTAAATAAATCCTTCAAGGTGTGACCTTGACCCACAGTAGACATAGATCCTTACTATTAAACTGATCATCTGAACTGGCTGTCCCTGACCAATATTACTAGAGAATCTAAATTCCTTATATTCTGGATCTGGAAAGAGGCCATTGCTAGCCTTGGACAAATGAACATCTCAAATGGAAAAAGTCTGGCGAAGGTGTTGACTCAAAGAGTTTCAAAATGAAGCTTCAGCTGTGTGGACCCTGGGGGTTATTGATTTCCTGAATTATTTTTCTTATATCATTGAATTCTGCATGTGCTGTTACATCACACTTCACTTACACATACTTATCCGGTTGCTAAGGGGGTTAGTATGTCATAGTAAGGTGCTTCATCTTCAACATATAAGGTGAAGCTGCTCTTAGGCATATTGAACTTTTTAAAGGACAGATGGAGTGATTTGATCTGTGTGTCCAGCCCTTCCTGAGGGTGTCCCTAATACTTGTAAGTGACTGATATTGGGAGGATTTTGAAGAGTAAAAGTTATGATAGAGTAATCAGAGTATGTCCTAATCTAAGTGGAGCTCTTGAATCTTCAAGAGCTGTGAAGCTGTACACAGGAAACATCTCCCAGCATAACTCTCCATTCCCTAATGTTGTTTTGAAATCTCCTTCAGGTTATCCTCAACTCCTCATGACTTCATGGATATAGCTTAGCTGCATATAGCTCCATATAGCTTAGGCAACTTTTAATTCCATCATTTTTTTCATATTGTTTTAACATGGGCATAATAGTGATCCACTTCTGGTTGCAATGAAAGCCAATAAAACACTAAGGACTATGCAACTTTCAAATTCTAATAGATATTCTTCACTATGGATCTGTACCTAGCCTCAGTTTGACTCAGATTTTTGTGAATGAATTCTACATAGGTTCCCCAATCCTTCAGCTATGAAAGATGCAAAAGCTTCAAAAATAGCAAGTTTTTAAAGTACTATAATCAATATTATATGCAGTGGAGCTAATGGAAACATCAGAGTCTGCTTTATTTCTTAATGTATTAGTTGTCTGCAGGATTTTCCTAGAGTAACCGCTTTGCTTGTGAGAATATGTCAGTCAATAAGTCCAACTCTCTTAGTGACAGAGCTGAATGTTGTCATTGATTGCATTCTTCTATTTCTGGAAATTATATGTGGATTGTTGGATTTTGCATTTTGTGTGAACCTAGCCATGGTGGTTGATAAATTAATGCTTGATTTCTCAGTTTGATCCCCATGGATCCCAGTATGCTTGCCAATACCTCCCTTAGTGCCCGATAAATTCCCTGCTTCATGTTCTATTTTTTGTTAAGGTTAAACAAAAAAATTAAATGGGAACCTTGTATGCTATGAAGCAAAGCTTCAGCATCAGACATCACTTTTATTCTTAGAATGTGTTTGGACTCTCAGAGACCAAGGCAAAAGCGAGAATGATAGGAAAATACAGACCAGTGCATTCTTTTAGAAATTCGCCTGGTGGGGGAGGGAGGAGACAATGGTAAACTGAAGTGGTAGAGAGGGTGGTGGGGAGCAACCTAACCAGTTTGCCTTCTGGTAAATTGGTGGGTGTTGTAAGTGATGATACTCACTGTGGCAGCCACTTGGTGACAATGCCCATGCCATGCTCTTGAAGTTACAAATTTGCCCACTAGCCCAAAAACGTGAACTCATCTAATTGTGCTTCTTTACTAACAATGGTTACGCAACCCACAACTCAGTGCAATGGATGAAGTCAACCAGTGTCAAGCAAGGAGTGTTTCAAATGTTGGTTCGCACGGCATCATTCCTTGTGAATATCTGGGCCCAAGCCCCCCTCCTCTGGGGTCATTTTAAACAACAATGTTGCCAACTTAAACATTTAACATGTAATCAATCACGTGTCTGATCTCACCCCAGGGCAGCCTTCTGCAGCTTCGTGTACTCCAAATAAGTTGGCTTGCAGTTCCCACAATCATCATGTTGGCTGGAGCTGATGTGGTCCAGGTTGAATTAGGAAGGGTAGAAGAGTAGCGATGTCTTCTTAAGATTGTACATTCTTCTTGTAAGCCTCGGGAGACAGTTTAATTGAACTCCCTAAGGGAAAGGCAGATAGGAAAACATTTTCAAATTTCCTTGGCAATAAGGAAAGTTGCTAGTTTAAATATTAAACCACAAGAGAAAGAAGTGGAAAGGAACTTGCATGGTGTGCAATTATGCAGGATCTGAAAGGGTCATGGGAGAGTTCCAGTATTCTTACTATTCTTTAAGAAATACCGGAGGCATCATACTGGAATTTAACCCTGTCACTGGGAGCAGCAGAAATTCCCTTGTTTCCGTTTTTGCCCGCAGTGAGCGAGTATTATTTGAATGAGTAATGCATGCTGTTGTTTATCCTGTGAAATAAGCTTCAGTATGGGAACCCTGAATCCCGATATTGAAATCCTAACCTTGAGAAAATTGATCACACCCTAAAAAGCAGTGACTGTTTTAAAAGCCATGAAGTAAAAATGAATGGAGAAAGCAGATGCCTCCAAGATAACGGAGAGGTGTTTGAAGCCCCCATCTGCATTAGAGGCATGCTGTGTTCACATTTCCAAACACCCACAAGCTCATATGGCTGCTCAAATTAATAATGATTCCTGTTCTATTTATGCAGTTTGCTGGAAAGCATTTATCAAAAGTAACCTGATAAATATAACTTGAATAGAACAATGGATTTTGTAGCCTTATAAAATGGCCAGATTATGGAGTTACAAAACATAAATACTTAATTGCTTTAGCATAAAAAATTCAGGTAGCTAACTGAGGATCAAAGTAGTAATGGTGGTAATGCACAACAAAGACATATTTTAATCCTTCCTTTGAATCCACTAGTTGATGTATCTTGATATCATGTTGTTCTCTCTCTCTTTTTTATTTTCTGCATCATTGGCTGCTCTTGGCAATGGTGAGTTGGGAGGTAGGAGCAAGACAAAAG